CGAGTTCATACTTTAAAGACGGAGATGAAAAATAAAATTGGTAGGGTTTAAGATTTTTATTCAATTTGAGGATAAAATGGTAATGACAAATACAAAAAGAACCATAAAAAAAAAATTTGTCAAAAATTTGGGAGGGTTAGCTCCGCCCCTGTGTATAGTGTTAGTTGACACATTGTCTTTCAACCAACAATTTTTTGACACACCAACATTGTCAACCAATGTTTTCATCCAACATTGTACAATTGTATGGCGCCTCTATAAATGGGTAATTTTGCCAGGAAGAATAGAAAAGTCTTATATTTTGAACAATTGAACAAATAAGTCAAGATGGTCGAGTTAGTCTAAGGCGCCAGTTTCATGTAGCCAAACCCTTGTCCATTCATCTTGTAAGAACGTCTGAATGTGTGGGATTGGTCAAGATTACAGAGGAAAAGCCAACTACTTTAGCTTTTATGCAGGTATGATGAAGTGACCAAGGTAGCAGCCATAATTCCACACTGCTGGTGAAAGAAAATATGACTCGTTTTGTAAGTGAAAAGGGCCATTCTCACTTGGTACGAGACCTTTCGGAGAAAGTCCAAGAACAAATTTGTGTGAGCTGTGTTCAAAACGGACAATATTATACTTATAAAAGTTTTATCCATGTGTTTTTTTCCTCTTACTTTGTGGATCAGTTTTAACATACTTCCAGAGAAGATGTTATACTTAATTTTTACATGCTACGACAGAATTTTCTTTGCTTTTGTGTTTCGCTTGTTGCAGACGAAGTACATCTATTATAGAAGCAATGGATAGGTGATTTTAATGTTTTATAAAATATATAAACAGTTGATCTATTTGACTTTGATTGGTCCATTTAAATTTTCATCTCCACTATTTCTCTATATTTTCACTCTTGTACATGCTGGTCTACAATTAGTACAATCAACATCTCTATTGAAAATGTTTCTCTCCATTTCCATTTGAGTAATACTATTCATCCCTACTAAGGTTACAAACACAGTCTAGGTGGCGTTAATGTAGCATTAAATGATATGTGAAATTAAATCACATTTCATTTAATATATCATTTAGAGCCACTTAGACTGTGTTTGTAATTCTACAGGGGATGAATAACACTACTCTTTCCGTTTTGCTTGCAACATACACAATAATTCATATTTTGTGACATTGTATATGTGTAGGGGGAGAAATGCACAAATTGAGAGATATAAAAGAGATTCCCTACCTTAATTTTTGGTTTTTTGGCAAAGAAAATTTATTTATTGTCTTGCCTGACAATCAAAATAATGATATTTAGATAGGGAAATGACATATTTTGAACGTGCGATTAACATTTTTTAACAAGTGAATTGAAACACATGGGAATATAACTAAAAATTTAAAATTAAATGTTAGAGTAGATTAAAAGTTTGAAATTAAACGTAGTTAAATTATCGAAGTAGGCTAAATTTTTTCAACCAATTTCTCAAGAGAACTCAAACACCATTCAATTCCAATGAGAGTTTGAGACTATTCTTGAAAAGTCAAAAGTAACTTTTGACATTTAAAGTTGTTTTTGAATGACAATCAAATAATTCCTACTTTCGTTTTTGTTTTTACGTATATCGTAAAAAATACTCAAGTGCATAGTCCAACCAAGAATCAGTAAATACACATGCATTTCTCTAACAATGTTCCAAAAACCCGTTGAGATTAAATCAATGCAAGTAGACACTATGCCTTCAGAAAGTAACAAGTAAATTAATTGACTATAAGTTTCTGCAATTTTCAATGACACTTCTCTTATTTTGACACTTGCAATGCCTCGACAAATGCATCTTTGAGAAGAGGGTTTGAAGCTGCTATGCGTTGAGACGTGATGTCAAGATCTTTACCCGATCTGATACATAGACGTGGAAACTATAACCATAAGTTTTATGTATGAAAATTTTCTGTTAGGATACATCTTATAATCAAAATGTCAACGGTACTGCAAGTGAACATTTTCTCCAGTATGTTATCTGTTTATAGTTTGAAAGTATGTTACTTACGGATCAAACACGACTCCTCCAGCTTCATTTACGATCACAGCACCGGCAGCTATATCCCTAAACAGGACAATGAAGTTTTAGATCATGTTTGATAGATACTACTGGATACAACTAGAGAATGCTATCAATTTCACTTATTTTTCTTCTTTAATATTGTCTTATAGTATCTGATCCTCCATACCCAATATGCCATGCCAATAGCATCTAATGGATTGTATACCGAACATTTTAAAAAAACTAACCATGGGCCTCCAAAACCAAGCTCGTAGAATATATCGAGCCTTCCACAAGCAACCCCACAGAGGTTCAATGCACAAGAACCAGTCATCCGGAGGGACCTAACCTGATCGCAGGAGAAGGTAATATTCTCAACTATCTTTACAAAAACATATTCCTCAAATCATTGTTACGAGGCACCGAGGTTTACCTTGAAGAGTAAACTATTGATTCTATTGGTAGATGCGTCCAAAGTAGACTTGTCACGCTTTGTTCCAGCCTGTTCTCATTTAAATGAAGTTCGATTAGCTCTTCACAAGTATTATTAGAAAATAGAAAGGTAAAACTCTTAATATACACATAATACAAGGCTATTCATGCTCCCATTACACTTTAGAATAGAACACACGGCACACGCTTGTTCCGAAAGCACCATTCAAGAATATGGTCAGTCGAGTACCTCTGTGGCAAGAAGGGACTTCAAGAGCTCTGATTGAGAAGACACTGCGAATATGACAAAAAGCAGTTAAATTCGCTATAATATTATGCGAAACCACTACGCAGTAGAGCTACATGAAGAGGCAACTTGCCTTTGATAGGTTTACCATTCAGAAAAGCACCTTTTCCACTAATTGCAGTAAAAAGCTGCATATCAAAAGTCAAACATTAATTTCCGAGGATCTCATAATCTACATAAGCAACAGATAAGTTACAGAAGATAACCCTTTTTGTCAATAGTTTTTACTAAGAATCAGAATTATTTTACCTCATCCATAATTGGATTATAGATGACACCAATAGTCGGAATTCGTCTAATTGTTAGACCAATAGAGACACAGACAAATGGAAACCTGCAAGTCGCCACAATTTAAATAACTCAGACGCTCTATGGGCAAAGGAAACTTTTCTATTGACAAAA